GTAAAAAAAAAAAAGATAAAAAGAATATTATACTAATTAGTTTGTTAGGAATGTGATTATATGGAAGTTAAGATAAAATGAAATGTAACCAAAAAATTCTGTTGGTGGTCTTTTCCTTTAAATGTTTGAATTTAAAAATCTAATAACCAAATTTAGATTATATCACATAAGGAAAAAAGAAATAATAATGTTTATGAATATATTTTAAAATTTAATTTTGAATTTAAAATAGAGTAAAAGACGAATTAATTCAAATTTGTTTTTAAAAAGTTTTTAAAATGTTTAATATTCTGATAAGTATGCCCGTAAAAATAATTTTACTATTTTAATTTAAAAATTTTTGGCAAGTTTGTTGATGAGTTAAATTCAGTTAGACAAAAAATTAATTAGTTAAAATATAATATTAATTATATTTTGAAAATTCAGGTTCGATAAATGTAATTACATTAATTAATTTTTCAGGAATGTGATTATATAAAAATTAAGATAAAATGAACTATACCCAAAAATTCTACTTGTGATATTTTTCTTTAAATATTTGAATTTAAAAATCTAATAAACAAATTTAGATTATATCACGTAAGGAAAAAAAATAAATAATAAACATTTACACGTAAAAAAAAAATATATATTTANTAGTAATAGATTTGTGCATACTACAATATAAATTTATACAAAATAACTTAATTAATTTGCGTAAGAATGTAGTTTGTACATAACATTTCAAAATATTACCTCTTCATCTTGGAAAATGATCTCAGAGAAATTCCTTATCTCCAAATTGTATTGGGTCTGAACAATTAGAAGTGCTCTTAATTTCAAATAGGGCTTGTTGGCCCTACTAACCGCATGTAGTCTATCAAACATTGTTTTTTTTTTTTTCTCTATTTTTTAAGATCGTGTTTCTCTGTTTTTCAGTATTGTTTTAACTGGACGAAGTGAAGAACCAGTTCTAAAGAAATGATGGAGTTATATAGGATTCTACAAATTTTTTTGTAATCTGTTTTTTTTCGTTGATTGGTGAATTATTTATGTAAAAAAATAGTGTATTATTTGCCTACCGCATAATCCGTAAGTCGTTTAGTTGATTGGTTAACAATTTTTTTTTCAATTTTAAACAGAAGATAAACATAATCGCTTGAAAAAAAAAAGAAGTCAAATATATTGCTAAAACAAAAATCGGTTTTCCCAAATTAAAAGGAACTGGAATTAATCCGATATGACAGAAATGTCATCCAAAATAAGGAAAAATTGTATGAAAAAATTTCAAATAAAATTTTAGGGGGAAAAAAAGGATGTGAGCGGCAAAATGAAAATATTTTTCAAATATTTTTTCTTCTCTATATTATATAGTAATAGATGTGTTGATGCAATTATAAAGACCGCATGTTTTTCAGTGCCACAGTTGTAATGCTTCATGCTCGACACGTCCCTCTCAACTCACACACACACACATAAACACAAATCAAACTACTTTCATTCATTTACTAATTTTCATTCAGTGGCATTTTCTACCATCGACCATGAAAAACATTACTGTTTCACTCTCTTTAATTTTATTTTTGCCTCCAACATAAGAATCAGCGTCGACTACAGCCATTTTTCCGTTTTAAGAGGAAACCATCAAACTATATATTAACAAAAATATTCATTAATTAAAAAGTAATAAATAATGGCTTTTATTCAGTTACTACCTGACATTGGTTCCGTAATAAAGTTTGAAATGAAACACCATTTTTTATTTTCCAAACTCTAATGCTAATGTTAGACAATTTAGTTATCAGATATTTTTTTTTTCAGGATATAAATTTAATTAGAATAGCGTGATTCAGAGACTGCAATATGTATTTATATAAAATGTAAAATATTATAATCGCACAACTATTAACAGTATACAATTTTTTTTCTAAATAAATAGGAAAATATTGTACCTGTGGTCGCGTGTAAGATTTCATGTGCGTGAGTGGGAAAAGTTTATTAGAAGAAATAATAAAGAAATAGGGTGATGCTGTTGCTGTTGTCTTTCCCTGACTTAGCAGCAGAGAAGAAAAATGCAAAAATCCTGTGCAAAAGTGAAACCCCTTATCTCCACTTTCTTCATCTAATTACTTCAACTTTTGGACCACTTTACACCCACATTTTTTTCTCCATTCTCGCTTGCCTAGTCTTCATTTTATTATTATTAATTCATAGGGTCGCAATTTTTTACACACAGCGAATTGGCCGACAAAGTTCTAATTTTCTGGTTTCAATACACTACGATAAATATCAACTTTGGAATTCAGATAGAAATAAATTACTATAATTTATTTTAACTAGAGAATAGCTAGAGAATCCCCACATATTTTGTTGTAAGTAAAATACTTGTTGGTAATTCTTTTACCTAGAGATTTACTACAACAAAAATATAATTTAACATGCCAACAAAATACCAGCAGAAAATGTTGTAGGTAATTATTTCACTAGCTATTTTGTTATAATTTAGTATTCGATCTTGTGCATTTGCATATATGTAAATAAAGTATTTTAAGTTTTTTAAATGTATATAATATTAATATTATAAGTTAGATAAAGATATGAAGTATAGAGCGTGGAGAATGTACAGTATATTAAGTATAGAACATGGAGAATGTAAAATTGAAATTAACCCCCTGCTTCCCTTTATATAGGGAGTTGATGTCTTGTTCTCCAAGCTTGCCCGGAGCATTGACCCAGCTGTCCTTGTTGCCTGTCCGTACAACCCTACTGTGCCTGCAGGATCTCATATTGTCGAGTGTCGGAAGAAAGGTCGATTCGACCTATTGGCCATCTGTGCTTAGGTCGAATATAGCTTCCTCTGTACTCGATCTGACTATGGTGTTTTTCTTGTGGGATCGGACCGGTATAATATCCCATATCATCTAGTCCCCCACCCTTCCCCCCACCCCCACTCTGGATCGAGCTAATTGTAATTCGATTCAAGAGTGTGTTTTGTCGGTCTTCTGCTTTGATTTCTTAGTTTCCTTCTGCCTCATCGACCTTCGGTTGTAGAATTCTGAATCTCCCTTGTCTTTAAGTCGGGCTGTTTTGTGTCCGTTAATTCAACTTTCAAATTTCAAACTCTTACTTCGGATGAGACTCTCCTTGTGCCTTTTAAAAACCATCACCTGGATGCCGGGCCTCCTCGTCTCGCATGCCCGTTCAGCTTTTAGCCATTAATGCGCGTATTTTCGGTCCTCGTTGATCTTTATCCGTTGTTCAGGGCTTCATCCAACGACCCGCAATGCTCGACCTTGCCACTTCTCTCCTACCCTCCTATAAATACTCATTTCTTATGCTTTTGTTCCGTTTCTCACCTTTGCTGCTTTCGCGCACGATTTGCTGGTGTTTTCTCCTCTGCTACTGCTCCTAAGCCCTCTGTTGCACAGTGGTTTCCGAATTCTCCGCGTACACGTTTCCAAAGTTCTCACACAATGTCGTCATGGAGTAAGTTTTTCTTTTGTTTTTGTTTCGATGTTTTTGTTTTAATTTCGGCAAGGTTCTTAGTTCGCTCCTTTTGTTTTCACTGTCATCGCATTCCTTTAAGGAAAACCCTTTTTTCTCCGCGACTCCCTTTTCTCCAAAAGACCCTAAATTTCCATTTTTGTTTGTTTGCCCTTTTTTGTTTTAAATCTGCATGCTACTTCGGCATCTGTGACTAACTCCATGAGTCGCGACCCGTCTCCTGAGAGACTTCTGCTCGCTTCGACCTCAATTCCTCTTGCTCCAGATTCTCTCCCTATCCTTTGTCCTATTCCTCTCGATAGCAATCCTACCAACTTATCTCGGCCTCACCCTTTCAATTCGACCTCTGGGACTGGTCCTTCGAAACGTCATCGCCACCTTATCCATGACTCGTCCGAGAAGGAAAAAAAAGGAAGAAGAGAAAGCTATACCCCTTCTCACCATTAATTAGGCAACTGTTTGTCCCATTTTTGTGTCTTTATTTCATGTTTATTTTCTTTTTGTTTTTCCCCACTTGTAGGATTTTAGTAGCTTATTTGGTCCATTTCGTTCGATTTGTGTTTTTCTCCTTAATTTCTAGTTGTGTGTCTTTTAGTTGTGTTTTGATTCGTGTTTTTTCTTGTTTTTGTGTTTTCTTGAGTCGAGACCGTGATATCGAGAATTCCCATGGCTGAGCCCAAAAAATGACGAAGAGGACTGAAGGACGGACTGAAAATTGCTCCAAGCATATCTCGCAGCTCGCGAGTCGTCTCGCGACTCGCGACTTGGGTCGCGACTCGCTAACATGTCACGACCCGCGATAAAAATAGAGCCTTGGTGCAGTAAGCGAGCACGAGTCGCGACTCGCGACTTGGGTCGCGACCCAACCCCAGAAGTTGAAGATCTTGACGATGCGCGACTCGCGAGGAAGTCTCGACTTGCGACCGGGGAAAAGGTGATGTCGCGATTCGCGACTTATCGGCGCGAATTTCGAGGAGCGGGTTTTTAACATCAGAATTTGAGCCTAGGGCAGAGAATTCACTTCCAGACTTTATTTTTATACTTTTTCTCTCTATAAACTCATTCCTTTTCATACTTTTTCACTTTTGATCTGTTTTCGAGATTGAGAAACTCTTTTTTCTCGCTTTGGATTTGAATGCACTTGGATTTGACATTGGAATTCATTATATTAATCGTAAGTTCTTTTTCTCAATTGCTTTGTTGATGATGATAGCTTGGGTTGATATGAATTGTGATGTTAAATTCGTATTGAGTAGCTAAATCCATTCGCTAGGGATAGGGGATGATTGATTAGGTTCGTTATAATTGAGTGCTTTTGATTGTTCATATCTATTCGAGTTGTGTGAATTATAGGGTTAGTTGATTGATCACCATTCTAACCTAGATAATGAACGTGTAGAATCGAGAGGGGAGACGTTGGTCAAATTAGGCTCGTTTAGAATAGATTTGTTAAGAAACGTATTGTCTATATGTTGTTGGAATTGATAGTTGATTGTTACATTCACTCTCTTGTTACGAAGAGTTATTGAGAGTGAAACTTTAAACAAGAAACGATTCAAGTCCTTTAACCGAGCAACTGGTTGTCGGTGATTATGTTAGAACTGAAAGCAATTATCCCCAATTTCCTAGCACTTTAATCATTAAGTGAATTTGTTTGCCATTTAAATTGCATTTAATTTAGTTTGGAATCCTTAGTTGATATTGAAAACCTCAAACTATTGAAGTAGAATGTTTAGGAATTTGTTTTCTCTTTTACGTAACTGAATAAACGCACAAGAATATCCGGCTAACCTTTCTTGCGATATGACCCGGGGAACGAATCATTTGATTTTACTCCGGTAAAAATACTGACAACAGCCACTACCTTCCTCACCTCGATCTCCCTCCCCTCAACCTGAGGTCGAATTGCACGAAGTCGACACTGCTAGAGATTTTCTACCTTATGACATAGAACCTAACCGTCAGCCTAGAGAGTTTTGTCACCTTTCCATCGATGACCCTAGGGTGCAAATGCTCGGGATCCCTTTTGATTGGGGTACTTATACCGCCCCCAATGCCTCTGATATCCACGAACTTCCGTCTGTCGGCCATTATACCTTTTACGAGGACCAAGTCAAAGTGAGCCTTCGATTCCCTTTTAGTTCGGTCTTGCTTGAGCTTTGTTCCCTCTACCAGATTCCACTCAATCAATTGCCTCCCAACTCCATGCACACACTTATATCCTTCGTTATTCTTTCTCACTCTCGATTAGGTGAGGTCGATCCCAATTTTTTCCGCTACTGCTTTGCGACTAAGCACCAAGGCAAGGGCATCTATTTTGCTTCTCGCCATAGTGCCAACTTTACTACCGATAAGACCAGCAATGTCCCTAACTAGAAAAGAAGATTTTTCTTCCTTCGACCTCTTTTCCTGTATGATCCGCCACATCGCAGCTCCACTTACAACCTCATGATCTTAGCATGGGGTCAATCCAAAGTCGTTTTGTCCATACTACTCAAGGACGAGCAACTTCTTTATCATTGTGGTCTCTCTGCCCACGTGGACGATTTACTGTCCGACAAAGAAATTGGTATGCTGAATTTATGCCATTACATACTCTCTTCTTTTCGTACGTATACTAATATTTATTTCCTCTTTGCTTTTCTGTAGAACGACGCCTCGAGGAAGCCAGAGCTCTCGCCCCTACCGCTAGCTCTGGGAGAGGTCAGAAGACCTCTCAAAGGCAGAAGGGTCCTCAGACTTTTCGGACCCGTCAACCTCCCACTCCTCCCATTAATAATAGAAGGATGAGGAAGTCCTGAATGTCGATAATAATCAAGCTGAGATTACCACCGAGTCTAGTCAAAACTCCAAGTCGATCAACTGGGGGACACGTTGGTCGATTACGAGTGCCGAGAAAAAAAATCCAGATCGACGAGGAGACGATCATCATGCCTCCTTGTTCCCTCGTGACCGCGGCCAAGGCCACGACCATCACGTCGTACCTGGCCAACATCTTTCCCACAGCTGACTCAAACCGATGGGGAATGATAGGAAGAAACGGGCTAAAGATGTGGCCCGTGGACTTGGGCAGGTATTCTTGCAATTTCTCTTTTCTTATGTTGTGGCCTTTGTCTACCTGTTTATCAGTGTATTGAGCATTCGTCTTCTAACTGTTTTGGTGGGTCTTGTGCCCATGCTGAATGAGGACTTGTCCGAGCAGAATGTGCTTCACCGAGAAATAGCTCGGTAGAAAGAGGATCTCCGCCTTCTGAACCAGCATGTTGAACAATTGACCATCAATAATAACGGCCTCTGCAAGAAGGTTACCACACTGAACCAGGATGTCAAGGTCCTGATGGCTCAGAATAATGAGCTTGGGTAGAAACTGTCGACCAGACAGCTCGGCATCAAGAGGCTCTGAAGGTGCTGCCCAAAGCGCTTACGCCAGCATCCTCTAGACCGACGTCATGCAGCGGCTACTTGAGGCCTATCGCTTGCAAGTAGTCGATGACTATCTCGTGTCTCCTGCCTACCTAGACGGGCTGACCGAGGAAGTCATAGAGTACTTTAACTTGCCGTTGCCCGTAATATGCCTGATGCCTCTTCGAGCTTCTAGGGCAACGCCGAGCTGCTCGCCTCTCCTGCTTGGTGGAGCGATACTTTGACTAAGGGTCTGCTGCGAGCTAATGTGGCTCAATACTTCGCCTTGCCAGCTCTTGTGCTTGCACGCGAATCACCCTCTGATGCGCAAGTTCAGGTCACCTCTTTCTCTATTCCTCCACTAGTGGGGCCCAATGCCGAGGCTGCTATTGATCCCGATGCGCGCCTACCTCCTCCATAATAATCATTGTAAATTTTATGTCTGTTTGAATGACGTTTGCCATTGTTTATGTACTTTCGCTGATTAATGAATATATGCCTTTTATTATCTGTTGTCTTTCATTCTTTAATATGGCTTCTTGTGGATATGCGTACTTTTATTATTCGTTGTTGTTCGTTTACTATGGTTTGTTATGGGTCTGCATCCCATTAGTAAGCTCAAAACATTTTAGCATTCTTCGTGTTTTGTTTATCGACCACCCAATTAATCATGGTGGGTTTCGACACTTGCCCAACCTATCGCGCATCGTTCAAACAAGCGACTACCCAGCTCGAAAGCCTTAATCATGGAGGGTTTCGACAGTTGTCCAACCCATCGTGGGTCGTTCAAACAAGCGACCACCCAGCTCGAAAGCCTTAATCATGGTGGGTTTCGGCACTTGCCCAACCCATTATTGGTCGTTCAAATAAGCGACCACCTAGCTCGAAAGCCTTAATCATGATGGGTTTCGACACTTGCCCAACCCATCGCGGGTCGTTCAAACAAGCAACCACCCAGCTCGATAGCCTTAATCATGGTGGGTTTCGACACTTGCCCAACCCATCGTGGGTCGTTCAAACAAGCGACCACCCAGCTCGAATGCCTTAATCATGGTGGGTTTCGACACTTGCCCAACCCATCGCGGGTTGTTCAAATAAGCGACCACCCAGCTCGAAAGCCTTAATTATGGAGGGTTTCGACACTTGCCCAACCCATCGCGGGTCGTTCAAACAAGCGACCAATCTGTTGGGTTCGCTAGTACCGTACGGGCTTTAAGCAGCGGAATTTAAAATTTTTCAAAGTAAGTATTTATCGTATAAATACAACACCCGTACATACTAATTGCGAATTAACCGATCGTCATCTTTAAAACATGCATCATATACAAATTTCGATTTGTTATATAAAAGTAAATACCAGTACAAATATTTACCGATTTGTCTTGAACTCCTTCACAAACTATGAACTTGAGGGAATCGGTTCCCGGTTTGATAACTTCAACGGATTGAGGTTACTCGCTTGAGGAATCCAAGTGTCTTCCCTCTAACAGTATCCACCCTATGAATCCCGGTTCCGACGACCTTCCTTCGCTAGTAGGAATGACTCGGTTTTCTCGTATAGGAATTTATATGGATTTAATTTAGGAAACTCTCAAGAACTTTTCTTGTTATTGTGAAGAACTTTTCTTCTAACTCTTGAATTTTAAGAACACTTTCTTGAAAATCAAATTAGCAATTTATGTAAACCATTTACATCTATTTATACTAAACATTTTAGCATAAAATAATCAACATTTAGTAATATTTAAATAAAATCTGATTTTATTTAAATACAATTACTAACTATTGACTTTATATATATTAAACAATGTGAGGTGGTTCATAACCACCATTAACCACCATTTATTATATTCATAATTATTATTTTAATCCTTAAATCATATTTAAAGATAAAAATAATAATAGAATAATAAATCTTGAGAATCTATTCCAAAACTTTATTATTATATTCATTTCCCAATTTTCATTCATATTATAATAATCATATTATTATTATTTTGGATTTGAAATTTAAAATCCTATTTTAAAATTCAACTTTATTAATTTAGTAATTACCTTAATTACTAAAGTAATATCCAAAATGTAATTAATCAATCTTATTGATTAATATATTCCTTTAATTGACATCTAATCAAATTAGATATTTATCAATTAATTCTAACCATTAGAAATACAATCTTTACCTTTGTTCATAATTAGTGTGACCTTTTAGGTTCAC